CTGCCCCCTGCTGGCGGCATCTAGTTCAGTCCCCGTTAGAGGACAGGAGACCAAGCTGATGTGTTTTTCTCCTGGGTGGAGATTTCCCACCCCAGAGAGCCCCACCCTCCTGCTTAGCCTGGGGAAGAGGCAGCGACCACTGTGGGTTGAGCTCCGATCCAGGGTGGGCGGATGCTGCCCCCTGCTGGCGGCATCTAGTTCAGTCCCCAGAACCAACCACAGGAGCAAGACACAGGTTAGCAATGGGTAAACCCCTACCCAGGGAGGGGTCCCTTTATTTGCCTCTCCCTGCTAAACTGGTAGCTCTGACCACAACCCACCTCCCAAAAGTGGGTTTGTCCAGGAAGCTCATGAGCTAGTCCTGAAACAGGGACACAGGCACCTCAGACTGTACCGTCCCCACTGTGACCACAGCTGCACACCTCGTGTGGGGAAGAACACCGTTGAGCCCCCTGGGAGGAGAGAGGCCCTTCCTTGGTGTCCTGGGTGGGTGACAGCCAGGCGTTCTGTTTTGGTTTGGTTTGGTTTTGGGGTTTTTTGTTGTTATTTTTTAAGGGGAAACACTGAAGATCCACCAAAACGGAGTTTTAGAACAGACCTGGGTCCCTTTTTAAGCAGGTGGCCATGGTGACTTGACCTTTCCACGTCTGTAGATCCTCCTGTCCAACAAGGAGATAGATCCTGAGACGATGCCCAGTAACGGCACCCGGCCCAAACGCCCACGAATTTTGATTTCTCACTTATTGGTACCACGCCTGGCCTCCCCGGGGTGTGGAAGGTGTCTGCAGAGACTAGCAGAGTGTGGCTGCTGCCCTGCAGAAGGCTGGAATCCGGTGGGCAGGGAGATGCCCTCAGGATGGACATGCGTGTCTGGGGCATGGGGGGTGCGTAGGATTTCACCATGGACAATGGAAGACGAGTGGCCACAGGGGGAGGAGGAGGAGTCCAAGGCAGGCGAAGGCAGGGAGTGGGGGATGCTTCGGGGCTGGTTTGGAGGCAGAGCCAGGTAGAACTGCTGAGGGGGAACCCTGGGACGGTGGCCAGGACCAGATAGCAGGGCTTAGACGGTGCCTAGTAGGTGACAGAGAGGTCCTTACGGGTGTCTTTCCCAAAGGGAAATGAAGGTGATTGGAATCATGTTGCCAGAGAAGGTTCTGACCACAGGCTAGAGTGTGCAGGGCTGAACCGCGGACGGACAGTTGCTGTCACTAGGGCGTGAGCCAGACAGGAGGCAGCAGTAATGATACACAGAGTCCAGGGGCTGAACCAGCAGGACCGTATGCCCTTTGGACAATGAAGATTTTTTAAAAAATTGGAGCTGTGAAAAGGTCGGGCTCCCAGGGAAGGTGAGTTTGCAGCCTTGACCCGATGGCCAGCTCTCTGCAGGTCAACAGTGAGCCCTTCCAAGGTCCAACAGGGTCCAGATGCGCACAATGAAAACGGACTCTTAACTGGAGATGCTGGCCTAGGAACGGAGGCTCCTCCTGCCAAACGCTCTGAGCAGCCACCTGCTTTGGGCTTCCAAGGAGGTCAGGTTTTGCCCTAAGCCCACAACAAGGCAGTGCTGTTCTGACCTATATTGGGGGGCAAATGGTTCCTGCCGGGGCGGGCAAGCTAGCTGCCTGCCCCACTCCACAGCCCCCGCCCACCCGCAGTGCAGCCGTGGGGCACAGTGGGCTCCGGGGTTGGGTTTCAGTCCAGCTGCGGTTCCTGAGTGGTTCCACCTCACTTCCCGGGTCTCCAGCAAGAAGTCTTGCCCCCAAGCCTCTAGCCAAAACATCAAGTCGCCCAGGACTGCCAGCAGGAGTCTTCCCCAGGTCTCCAGGATCGAATGTCCCCTTGGGCTCCAAAATTCAAGGCCAGGAGCCGGGATGGGAGCTGGCCACCTCCCAAGGACTCGCCACCAATGGTCCCCGTCATGTGGATTTGGCTTTCAGGAGTGACGCTGGTCTGGTCCCCTCTCCTCTCACTGGCCCCTCTGCAGCCCACCCCCAGTCCCCACCTGGTGGACAGAGAACCCAAGCAGTCATCATTTTCCCCCAGACCCTCTGTGACTCCAGCATGGGGATCTGATAGCCTTCAGTGTCTGTTCCCCGTGGAGCATCCCAAATCTCCAATCCAGATGCCTCCAAGTCCAAAACTTTGGGCACCCACACCGCAATTTATGCACAAAACTATTAGAAATATTGTATAAAGCCACTCTCAGGCCATGCATATGAGGGGTATATGAAATCTAAATGAGTTTCCTATTTAGACTTGGTCCCACCCCCCCCCAAGATATCTCATTATGTATATTCAAATATTCCAATTTTTTTTTTTTAATCCAGAATCCAAAACACCCCTGGTCCCAAGGACTTCACCTAAGGGGCATGCAACCTGTAATACTGGCAAGGGAGATGGTCCAAGTTTACATGCCTTAGCGTATTTATGAGTTCGTTTTGTCCCTGGAAATATCTAAATGGTTCTGGTCAAGCAGGCACATCTAATTCAGTGATGAGCATGGTGGCCTTGGCAGGCAGGGGACAATGCCTTGGCATGCTGCTTCCTGAAGTCTTTTCGACAACGACTCCATACATGCAAGTGCCCAGATTTGGCTTCGAACCTCCCAGAGACTCTAGTCCTGAGGCCATGAACCTCAGCATTATCGGTGTTTGGGGCTCGGCCATTTTTTATCTCGGTGGCATCCCGGGCGTCATAGGATGTTGAGTAGCATTGGTGACATGCACCCAAAAGTTGCTGATATCCATCTCCTGCCAATCGTGAGAACCAAATGGGTCATTGCACAGTGTTCATTGTCCCCTGGGCAGGCAGCGTCTTGCACCCCTTGGGCTGAGAACCACGGCTCCTGGACATTGGGGACAACAGGATGCCTACCAGCCACCCCAGGCCTTCCCATTACAGACCTCTTGGAGAAGGTCATCATCCACTGCCAAACCGAGATTGAAGGACTTACACAGCTTCACGAGCCCCCCGCTGCACCAGAAAGATGGGGGGCTCTGTTTTGCTAAGATGCTCCGTCCTGGGTGTCCGTTCTAACAAAGCCCCTGGTAGCCTGGTGCAGTCTTGCGCTGGCTCTGAGGTCCCCTTGTGCTCCCCATCATTTTTGTCACTGTGTTGTGGTTGTGACTGTCATTACCCACTCCAGGCTCACGGGTGGTTTTCTACAAGGACCAGAGAGCTGGACGGGTCATCGTAGGTGTACACTCTGTACCCGTAGGTGTCCACTCTGGGCCTGGGGAGGCTGGGGAGGTGGCCGGAGCTGGGGTCCCCTCTCACACACACACACACACACACACACACACGCTGTCAGGAACTCAGATGCCCCTACCTCTGAGCTCTCAATGCTGCTAACCTGCCCCGTGTCCTGTGTGCTCGCCCCAGCACTTTCCTCAAGGACCGACGCCCACCCCGTGCCCTTTGCGAGTTCGGCGCATGCTCTTCTTCTGTATAGTTCTCATCTTCCAATTTTATGGGATGTAACAGAAGTCTACATCTGCCTGTTTGCATTATGGTTAAAATATTAAAAAAGTGGACTCGACTCGGCCGGCTCTTGTCTTCTCTGTGGCTTGTGCTGGGAACATCTCACGCCTCTGCCCGATGGGAGGGCGCCCTCACAGGCTGGGTGCCCCCGGGCAGCGGGCTCTGAGGCAGGGCTGGCAGGAGGCTGGTAAAGGGGGGCTACCGGACTAGGGAAGGGAAGGGGTGGGAGTCCAGCTGGTCAGTGGGGAAACCTCAACCGAAGCCTCTGCCAAGATGGCATCTAGAGGGTGTCCCGATTTGGGACTAAAGAGCCGTGTTTTATACCCTCCATCCCTGCTGCAGAGGGGTAGACTAGAGGCAACCGGAGAGGGAACATGGCCATTTGGACCCTGTGGGCCTTTTGACAGCTATCCCCATTTCCCAACTATCAAAACCACTTTAGACATTCGGCTTTTTAAATTACAAGATAACTTCTCCCAGCCGGGTGCGGTGGTGCACACCTGTAATCCCAGAGACTCGGGAGGCTGAGGCAGGAGGATCCTGAGGTCAAAGCCAGCCTCGGCAAAAGCGAAGCCCTAAGCAACTTGGTGAGATAAAATAAAA